AATTGATATGAAATATGTAAAAAAGAAGTAGATAAAAAAGACTCAAAGTCTCGGTTAGGTAGCCAATTTTTTTTTAATTTAAACCAGGTATCTTTGAGAAAAATTGACGTCTTTTTTAAATGAAATATATAAGTATACACACATGGCTAAAATTATTTTATTTTGGACCTAATATGATTCTTTTTATATTTTTGGACATATCGGCTTACTACCCGACTAACTAATATAAATTTAAAAATCTAAGTGCAACTAGGCTGTTATTATAATTTTATTTCATAATGAGTGAAAATCAACAAGAACAAATTTCATTTTAAACAGAAAATATTGAAATTTGCAAGAATTTGTAATAATATTGGGTCTGAACGATAAACATCGTTTACCATATCCATTTTAACAAAAAAAAATGTTTATTACAGATTATCAAAGCTACGTATAAAAAAGATTCTTTAAATTTCTTTCCGGTATATTTTTAAACAATATATGCAATAATTTCGGCCATGTGTATATGAGTAGGTATATCATAATAAAATTAGATAAAATTTTAACTGGAATTCACTGTCAACAATTCCTTTAATTATAATTTGAATGCGGTATTTTAGGTCGAATTTTATTTATTTAAAACATAATTAGCTTTAATAGGACAACCGACAAACGAGTAGTTTTGCAAATAATTAATAACAATTATAATATGTAATGATATAACGTCGGCCGACATATTGTTACCATTTTCATATAAATCATATGCCCGCATGCTTTGTACAAGTTCCCATTAATTCTCGTTTAAATTTTAATACCTAATTAGACTAACAAATATTTAAATCGTTTTTAATTAACGATTTAGTATAAATAATGAATAGCAATTAAATTGGAAATCGACCAAAAAAATGGTGCTGATCGGTTATTATGTGTTTTTGTTCAGTCATTCACTAAATAATTGTATGTTTTAATTAACGGATAACACTTTGGTCTGTAGTATTTCTATACAGGGTGTTCCTTAATGACATGCTAATATTTAAGGGCGTTATTCGTTGTTAACTTCAATTTCCAGATATCATTGCCATAACTGAGCACTGGTTAAATTTTGATGAGCCTGTGTTTGTTAAAAATTATACCACAGTGGCTAGATTTAATAGAACAAATTATTCTCATGGAGGTACTATGATAATGTCTTTAAACAACGACTTTTCCGAGGTAACTAGGTACAATGATTTGTTATTTGAAAAAGTATTCGAATTTTCCATTGTCCACCATAATGCTTATGACCTTTACATTATTTGTATTTATAGAACACCTGACTCTGACGTGCAATTATTCTGTCATAATCTACTAAGCTTGCTTGAGTCCCTGCCCTTAAAAAGCAAATTAATTTTGTGTGGTGATCTTAATATTGACTTTCTTAGTGTATGCGATGCTCAGGAGTTTCTTCAGGCCATTTTTGATTCTTTTGGAATAGCCATGCATGTAGGCTCACCTACCAGAATATCCAATACCAGTTCTAGTACTATAGACTATGTTGTGTCATCTTTTGATCCTAACTCCATCGCCTGCAACGTCTTTAGCTCGGGTCTCTCTGATCACGAAGCAGTTTTAACTGAATTTTCGATAAAGTCCAAAATCAAAAATGGCCCTCGCAAATTATGCCGTATTTTTTCAGAAAAGAATGCTCAAAAGTTCAGACACTTATGTAAAACAACCAACTGGGATACTAGCTATTATGATGTCGACACCGAATTTTCTATTTTCGTAAAAACATTAACCAGTCTAGCGTTCAAATCCTTTCCTCTTAGGCCTATAAAAATAAGCATAATAAACCTTGGACCACTAAAGGTCTACGCATATCTTCTAAAATCATGCGTTCATTATCTCACTTAAAAAAGTTCTCAGACAGTCTCTTCTTCCACAATTACGTAAAACTATACAGAAAAATTTATCATAAGACTATAAGAGCCGCTAAAGACCTTTATTATAATAGGAGAATAGTCAATTCTGGTAATGTTGCTAAAGAAAAAAAGAAACATGGTCTATTGTGAATGAATTGAGAAACAAAGCTTCTTCGTCTAGCAATATCTCTACCTCACCTGAGAACCTTAATGATTACTTTGTAAATGCAGCGAAAAACTTAACTAATACCATATGTCCTCCTCATGATCCACTTTATAATCTCTCTAATGATAATGTAAACTTACACAGTTTCTTTTTTTCGCCCGTAGTTTTAGAAGAGGTTCGCAGTATAATTAATACCATCAAAAATAAATCCTCTTCTGGGACCGACGGACAGGCTAACTTTAAAAATGTTTTCGAATCTGCCAGAAAGCACTCTGAATCACCTAACAACTTTAATAAACATATCGTTCCAAAATGGTATTTTTCCAAAATGTCTTAAGACGGCAATAAAGGAGGAGACAAAGATGAAGCTTCTAACTATCGCCCAATTGCACTCCTTCCAACGCTATGTAAGATCATAGAAAGGTTGGTTAAAAGAAGGCTGGTATCTATTCTGTTTAAGTACAAAATACTTAGTGAATATCAATTTGGATTTCTAAGCAACAAGTCCACAAATGACGCTATGTTTTCCCTCCTTAATAAAGTTTACTCCAGCCTAAACAACCATCATTCTACAGCAACAATTTTCTGTCATTTTTCTAAGGCGTTCGATTGTTTAAATCATAAGATCCTAATTAATAAACTGCAGCACTATGGGTTCAGGGGATCATCTCTCGAATGGTTTAAGTCGTATCTGAGCAACAGAAGTCCACTTGTGAGGGTCGATACCACGTTGTCTTCTAGCAAGCCAATAGAATGTGGAGTATCTACTAGGCCCAATTTTGTTTCTTCTTTTTATTAACGACATTGCTAACATAAACATCAGTGGCAAAATATGTCTTTTTGCGGATGACACTAGCTTCACTTGGAGCAACAAGGACATCACGGCACTTCATAGGATTATATCAAATGACTTAATCACCATTAAATCTTGGTGCGATTCGAGTCTCAACATTTCTAAAACTAAAGCTTTGTCGTATAAAAACTCGTTGCAGCCTTTTGTACTTAACAACACCACCATTGACGTCGTAAAATCTGTAAAATTCTTAGGGCTTGTTGTGGACAATTCTCTGAAATGGGACATATATATCGAAGCTTTGTCGAAAAAATTGAGCTCTGCCTGTTAAGGTCTGTTTCTAAGGAGCTTAACTTGTCAGTGGCTAGAACTGTTTATTATGCACTTTTTGAGTCGCACCTCAGGTATGCCCTTCCATTCTGGGGTACGTGTTGTTGACACTCAATTTGACCGCATTTTCAAGCTCCAGAAGAGAGCTGTTCGATATTCACTGGGATTAAACAGCAGAACTCATTGCCGGGACTTTTTTAAAGAATTAAAAATATTGACACTTATTCCTTATTTATATTTGAATCCGTTTGCCTAATACGTAAACATGTATCAGCTTCTCAAGAAAGGCCATCTCACACTTATCCACTCAGGAACGCGGAGCAAGATCTTTATCTACCTACCCCACGCTCATAGTTAGTTAAAAGTTCAATATTATACAACTCGAAAAAATGCACAATCACCTGCCATTTGAAATCAAATCCATAACATCAATTTTTTCATTTCGCAAAGCATTGAACTCTTATTTACTAGACAAGGCTTTCTACGCCGTAAATGAATTATATTTTGAAAATCGAATTTGATCTTGTCTTTGAACTGGTCTAATGTTTGCTATTTTAATGACATCGAAATGAATTTATTTAGAGGTCATTGATATTTTACTATAAACTAGTTAAATATTTTTGAATATTATTTTTATTTTTTTGTTCTTTGACATTGTAAATATTTATAAATGTTTATTTTAACAATAAGACTGACAATATTATTTGTATAATGTTTTGTACTATCTTTTGTTTGTGTACCTTGTTTTTTTACTTTGTTTGTTAGTTTACCTTTGTCTGCAAATTGAAAAATTTTTTGACAATAAAGGCATTTATTTATATTCTTGGACCTATTATAAGAGAAAAACTTCATATGAATGTATGTCTTAAACATCTTAATTTCTGAAATACAGGGTGGTACATTTTTCTAAAAATGTACCACTAACAATGTTTCATAAAAATTTTTTTATGATAACTCTGAATTTTACAGTTGGGGGTTGGAACCTTTGGTGTTACACAGCAAAATAATTCACCAAATCACTTTTACTTTTACACTGGACACGCGTTTGGCTAACCATGTTAGCATTATCAGCAGATGATTAAACTAAACTACCATCTACAATTTGAGCGTATACAGGGTGTTTCAAAACAAATGCGAAAAACTTCAGGGGGTGATTCCTTGTTCAAAATAAAGGGTAGTTTGATTCATAAACGTTGGGTCAAAAATCAACCATTAGGGAGATATCGCGGTACAAAGATGGCGGAAAAATAATGTTTTTATTTTTTATCTTGAAAACGAAAAGAGATAGACTAATAAACTTTTATGGAAGCATTACTGTTATGAAAACACACTTTCTGGTAATTTTTTCAAATTTTTAAAATGAGAGAAGGGGTTGAAATAAACTACCCCTATCATTCTTGTTAACGAAATTTAAAGAAAAATTTTATCAAACACATGCAAAATAATTTGGATAGTTTAGTTTGTTTAGAAACTTTTTTATCTCTTGTATTTTTTTGATAAAACTCACCGATTTGAAATTAGAAAATAAAATGTAAAGCATTACATGCCAGGACAAAAAACATTTTCTGATAAAGAATCTAGTGGGCTGCTGTATTTTTTTTAGGAAAAAATCTAGTCGGCCGCTGTTACTTTTTAGGATGTTCCTAATATTATTTTATTTGACATTACTCTACTGCAATACGTTATTATCTAGATGATTATTATTAGCGTTATTATCACTAGATTCTTAATCTTAAAATGTTTTTATGTCCTGACATGTAATGCTTTACATTTTATTTTTTAATTTCAAATCGGTGAGTTTTATCAAAAAAACACAAGAGATAAAAAAGTTTCTAAACAAACTAAACTATCCAAATTAATTTTTTTGCATGTGTTTGATAAGATTATTCTTTAAATTTTGTTAACAAGAATGATAGGGGTAGTTTATTTCAACCCCTTCCACTCATTTTAAAAAAGTGAAAAAATTACCAGAAAGTGTGTTTTCATAACAGTAATGCTTCCATAAAATTTCATTAGTCTATCTCTTTCGTTTTCAAGATAAAAAATAAAAACATTATTTTTCCGCCATCTTTGTACCGCGATATCTCCCTAATGGTTGACTTTTGACCCAACGTTTATAAAGCAAACTACCTTTTATTTTGAACAAGGAATCACCCCCTAAAGTTTTTCGCATTTGTTTTGAAACACCCTGTATATACGCTCTCAGTGGGCACCGAGTGGGCGTGGCAAGATCTAGCCAACCGAGTCAGAGCCTACCGAGCGTAACAGTTAGATTTCCGTCACTAGAGTAGTAGGAACAAAGAACTTGAAGGAATTGGACCGTTGTCTCTGTTCATACTATCTTTACATTTATTAATTCTGATGCTTTTTAACATTTATTAATTCTGATGCTTTTAGATTAATAAATAATTAATAATGAAGGATTTACCACCCCTTAAAATACTTGCGCTTATGTATTTCTGGGACACTCTGTATAAATACTACATAAAATATATAATACATAACATAGCCAGTAATGTGAGAAACCCTGTAAAACACATGAAAATGGAACACTCTGTCCACTTGGTATTGTTTCAATTATTCAACCTGTCATAAAAATATAATGTAAAAAAGTATCATAAAAAAAATTATTTTACAAAGTATTTTTAAGAATTTCTATTTTTATTTTCAGTTAGTCTTGGCTTTCCACACACTACAACAAGAAAAACGTCTCCCAATATTCAACTCAATTCCAAAATGTTTTCTTTCAAAATTCACGCCAACCGAAGAAGTGATTATCCTGGAAAACTTAAGACAGCTCGGGTACACTGTGTACAAAAAACAAACTGGTATGGATGTGCTTCATATGAAGCTAGTTTTAAAAGCCTACGCACATTGGCATGCTCTTTCTTTCGCATTAAAGGACCAGAAAAAAGAAGAATTTCAAGAAATTACTGAAACCTGGATAAAAAATCCGATGAAGGCTTTCGTTGGGGGTGTTTCGGGAAAGCTGATCAATGCCAGTCAAAAACAAGTTTTTGAGATTTTAAGAAATGAAGATAAAGAAGATTTGTTAGAGAAATATACGAGAAAAATAGGGAAAAAGAATTTTGTTGAAATATTGATGAATTTATTGAGCAATGAAGATGCTCAGTCGGTGGTTTTGCATGGGGATTGTTGGAGTAGTAACTTCTTGTTTCAATATGACGTAAGTATGGTAAGCACTTATAGTGTATCCAACGGCAAAATACGTGACAGATTGAATACGTGATAGATATGTCTGTCATTTTAATTTTAAAGTAGTTTATTTTATTTTACAATGAAATAAGTTGGAACAATTGGAATCTAAAACTAATTTTTAATTCAATATATTTTAAATTTTAGTGACAAATGATTACTTGAAAATATTATGAAAAAATGCTTTATAAAACTAAAAAAATCTAAAAAAGAGTTATTTTATTAAAAAAAAAATAGTTTAGGGTGTGTCTTAATGCAAAACAATCAAGGGTGTGTGTTAAACGAAACACCACACACAAAAAATCTATAGAAACAACTATTTCTTACTCTCAAACATCAAGAAATTTTCTGCATTTATTATTACACTAGCGTGTACCAACGATTTCGTTCGCGTGCGATAAATAAGTTCTAAATTACAAGAAAATGCATTTTCTACGGAAACTTAAAGAGATAGGTAAAAAATGGTATAATATAATTTGATAGACAATTAAATTGTGCATCTGATTCTCGTAAAATATAGAGGGTGTTCCATTTAAATTAAACAAGTTATTGCCGTTTGAAGCTAATAATTATTTAAAATAAATTTTTAGACACTCTGTATAAGGTGGTATTATTTTTATTATTGCAACACAATAATTGATCAGTAAATAAACTTCAGTAAATATTTAGTATTAAAAACTTTGATACCCTTGGAGAAATGAAGCTTTAAAATTTTTCCTGCAATTTCACAAAATTGAAAATATTTCAAAAACGGTAAGGTTTAAGTATAATAAACCTTAACCAAATTTACCTTTATTTTAATCGTAGAAACTAAAAATGAAATAATATACAGGGTGTTCCATTTAAAAAAGTACAACTTTGATATTTTTTACTTATTTGGGACACTCTGTATCTTGTAAAATTATTTTTAAATTGTACCTCTAATAGTCCTTCATCGAACCCAAAACTTACAATTTGTAAAAATCTCATCGTTTAGCTACAATACTCCGTGTCGTATGTGGTGAACAACCCTGTATATTCGTAAAAGTTTGTTGTTGACTATATTAGGAAAATTTGTGATTCATCTAATATTATTATTTATTTACAGGACGGTGATACAGAACAACAAATCTGCAAGAAAGTGGCTCTCGTAGACTTCCAAATGTCATCTGTCAACAGTCCAGTCTTTGACTTAAGTTACTTCATCTACTCAGTAGCGGACAAAGATGGACTAACTCATTTCGAAGAACTTTTGAACTATTATTATGATCATTTTTCAAATTATCTGATTGAATTGGGAAGCGACCCTGGTGTAATATTTTCCTATTCTGATTTGTTAAGGCATTGGAGACAGTATTCTATATACGGTGCAGTTTTAAGTCCGATGATATTGATGTTAGTTTTAAACGACAAAACGCTGGATTTTTTGTTGGACAATGACAATTTTTATGATATTTCAAAAGACACTGTGAAGAAAAATGAGTATAAAGAACGTATTATTGCAATTGCTCAACATTTTCTAAATCATTTTGGTTAACCTTAATTTTTTTCTGTAACTAACCTATTACATGTTTTAAAATCATAGTTTTTTTAACAAAATGTAAAACTTTTGCTGTATTTGATAAGAATAGTTAGTTGGTTTGTTAGTAATAATTTAAACACGGTGTCAAAAAAATATTGCACCTAACTCACAAATCATGGGGTACAAATCATGTACCCACCAAAATATGGGTACAAATCATGTGGGTAAATCAATTTATGATCTAGGTGAAAAATACGATTGCTCAATGTGTGTCTATGGTAGCGAAAAAATCAGGTTTGGCTACGTAAAAATTACTAATCATTCGCTACGTGCAACAGCTGTATCGACTAGCGATGGGAACTATCGAATGAATTAGACTATCGAATGGTTAATGAATAAATGATTTCAACTATCGAATGGTTTTATTCGAATAAAATCATTAATTCATTTGTATACTAAAGCATATGTGACAACCTCGCCGTGCGACTAAATGGTTATCGTTGAGCCAGGACTATCGAATGCTTTTGATAAATGAAATTTAGTATTCGTTTGATTTTTGTGTGCGTCAGTGCATTATTAGTTCTTCCAAATTTTTTTAACTTCGCCGTATAAATACTGTGCTATTTTTGCGTTTATTAAAATAGTTAAAATACTAAAATAGTAGTTATTTTTTAATTTTATTTATTGACGATTGTGTGCATGTGCAGGTGGTCAAAATTTTTCCGAAAATTTGTGTGGTTTTCCGTAGTCCGATCTTTCAATTATTTAATTTTATATGGTATATGGCTATTTTTTAATGGGAAATTTTGAGAGGTAGAATTTTTAAGAGAGATGAGATGAACTTACAATTAATTTTAAAAATACATATTTGTATTTTAGATGTTTTAATAATATGAATTAGTTGAACTTAATAATCATATTTAAGTAATGTGGTTAAGTAAATGGTTATCGAACTCAAACTATGGGGTGAGAAAATTAAAATAAAAGTTTTACACGTGCCAATTTAAAAAAAAAAGTTAACGATGTTTGTATTTTGTTTATGCTAATTTTCTTACATGTAGTTTTTTGCGAAGAAATATTTCATTTATTTTTTAAAGTAAATGCCAGTAAAAGTAAATATAATTTTTAAATAGTAATATAAAGCACCTAATATAAATAATTTTGATTTGTAATTTTTTATTTATATTTTCCTTCCATTACACTGCATGCTTAGAAAATTAATAAATGTTTATATTTCATGATTTTAAAATTTGTTGTTAATATAACAAATTAGTTCTGTAATTATTATTATTTAATAAACCAACGTTGCCACACACAAAAAATTTAGAGACTATATTATTTCTAAATAGGATCTAATATAAATAATTTTGACATCTAATTTGTTGTTTATATTTTGCTACTACTTAAAAAAATATTTATATTAAATCATTTTAAATTTTGTTGTTAATAGGTATAACAAATTATTATTGTTATTATTATTTTTAAACCAGTCTTTGCGTAAAAACATTAAAAATAATTTTCCTACATCCAAAATAACAAGTATTATTGCAGTGTAACAACAGAATATTAATAAAAAAAATGCAGAATATATAGACATACTAACCCTAACTAACTAAAGCCAAACAATAATATTCTTTGCTAATATCAACTAATACCAAAATATGGCAACAGCGCCCTTCATAATGTATTTTCTGTGTAAATACTAGCACCTCAATAAAAAAAATAATGTGTCCTTATCTATATATCTGACTCCGCAAAAAATCAAAGATGCCGGCTTCTTTCATAGCATTGCCACCGACCGCTGTCGGGTTTCTCGGAAAGAAACCTACGTCGCCGGGCGACAACTAAAATTCAGTTAATATTTTATTATAATCGATCCTGACGAATAAATGAATGATTTTATAAATGAATGGTTTTTGCTGCCGAATTACTAGAATACAATATTTCAAGGCAGATGACGGATCTATTCGATAATATTTATTCGAATAGTTTTCAACGAATGTTTTCTTACTAACTATCGAATTATTCGAATGACTTGCAACTATCGACTGTTTCGATAGTATTCATTCGATAGTTCCCACTACTAGTGTCGACACTAGCAAAGAAGGGGGTTGGGGAGAACACAATGGTCAAAATAACTGGGCACGCAAACCCGAAGTCAATTAAACCTTACCTTCAACTCGATGATGAACATCATGCAAATTTGGTAGAAAAAATAAGAGACAATGAAACTGCTACAAATTCTAATAATAATACTAATGTTTTTGTACCTACTATATGTTCTTTTAATTTCAATTCAAATTCAGCATCTTCAAGTACCGCAACGGAATCTAAACATAATAATTTTTATAACTTAGTTTTTCACTGCAATTCTTCATGTAATTTTTAATTTATAATATTATAAGTTCTGTTTCATTTTATTGCTTCATTTTTAAATAGATTTTTTTTAATATGTTCAAATAAATGTGTTTAAAAAATCTATGTATTTTCATTTGTATTTTTATGTTTTTTTTATTCGGGAAATATTCTACCGAATTACACTCGTGCATCAAAATTAACCTGATACTTTTTTTTAAGCATGTTGTCAATAAAAAATAGCATTCGTTTATATTCATATTTTGGAATGGCAAAATTTGAATATAAACGCATGCCGTTTTCAGAACACGCTTTCATGAAAAATTATTGGTAATTTTGATGCACTTGGGTAATTACTTCCGATAATTTTCTTAGTAATTCTTCTATTTAAAAAAAAATACTGTAGATTTAAAAAAAACAGTAACAATTTAGCCTCAACCACACGGACCTTTTTCTTCTTCCACCCATCAACCACCGGTAATCTATTTATATTTTCGACAGCGTTCTCTCGGCGGCAACATTTCCGCCCGATTCGAAAGCCGTTATGCAAATTGGCGCGGCGTAAAATATGAAAAATTGTCTCCCGGCCCGCCGTCCCTCGGGACCCCAATCCTCGAAACGCCCCGTCGCGTCGGTCGCGTCCCCCGTCATCGGGACCGCTGTCTGTCGTCTGCAATGCGGTTTGCGGGGACGGACTTCGCACCACCTCGGTGACAAGGGGTTGGATAGTAAAAAAAATAGAGATGGACTTTGTGTTGGGGAATCTCGAATTTACAAGGAAAAATTGAGAATAGAACAATTACTAAGGCCGCTATTACATTCTCAAAATTTTTTTGTCAGAGATCTTTTACAGACTATATACAGGGTGGCCCATCGGAAACGTTCCGCAAGGCATAACGGCCAGGGTATCAATAATAATCGACCAAGGCATAACGGCCAGGAATGTCGAATTTTATCTTTTAATTTTTCTTTTGTTTGTTTTTATACATTTTGTCTATTTTTTAATTTTTTAACTTAAGGTCCACCGACTAGTGATGGGTATTTTTCTTTTTCGTGAATCGAATCACATGATTCAATTTCTCATATTGAATCTTGAATCGACTCCTACGATTCGTTCATTTGAACGAACCACATGACCAATTTACGTTTCATAAAAACAAGAATCGTAACTGGCACTACTGGCGATAATTTGGCCGGCCAATTACTTAAAGGACCAGAAAAAGAAATATACAGTTCTTTCATTTGTTTTTCAACGCTTTATGACACTAGCGTAATTGGATCGATTATTTTACAAATAATATAAAATTGTCAATCCAATTCATATATAGGTACTATTTATTAAAGACTTTTTAATACCAATTTAATATTTTTAGAGTCATATTTTAATTCCGATTTAATAATATATATATAAACGGGATTTGGTTTAAGTATTTAATACTCATTTCCAACTACAGCCTATTGCTGCCTTCCCGTTACCCTACGCCACACATCTCGATTTAGAGCGTCATCAGCCTCTAGGTTACGAGCTTCCATTGCTTCCATAACCGTTCCGTTCCAGGATTTTCTAGGTCTACCTCTCTTTCTTCTGCCCTGGGGAGCCCATTGAAAAACTCTTTTTGGCCACCTGTTCCCCGGCATACGCAGAACATGTCCAAACCATTTTAAGCTGGATTTTTCGATTCGATCCAGTACTGTCTCCTCCGATGCATTCATGATACGCCTGACCTCGATGTTTGTCTTTTTTCCATCCTAGATATACCTGCACTTCTTCTAAGGTAGTCCATTTCAACAACTTGGATTTTGCGCTTCGCGTCTGCACTCAGAGTCCACAGCTCTGAACCATAGCAAAGAACTGACTCCACCAATGTTCTTCCAAGTCTCTTTTTAGTTGTTGCAGATAAGTTTCGGTCCCACCAGAGGCTGTTAAGACATCCAATAACTTGTTTGCTCTTCTGAATTCGGGTTTGTATTTCTTCTTTGCCCAAACCCTCGTTGTTGATAGTAGCACCCAGGTATTTAAATTTGTCTATTTGTTGAATCTGGACGTTATCATTAATGAAGACTTCAAAACAAGCGTTGGAATTGACAGCTAAGTATTCGGTCTTCTTTAGACTAACCTGAAGTCCCCATTTGTTATATTCTTGATAAAGACTCTTAGTCATGAACTCTAGATCGTATGAGTCCTGCGCAATCACGACCTGATCGTCTGCAAAGTTCAGGGTAAATAGTGTGTTGTCCCCAATGGGTATTCCCATACCTTGACATTTCGTCTTCCATTCCCTAAGGGCTACTTCGACGTAAGCGTTGAAGATCAGAGGAGATAAGCTGCATCCTTGTCGCAACCCTTTTGTGGTGTTAATTGGATTAGATAGCCTGTGTCCTATCTTAACGTACGATTCATTTTCTTTATATAGCTCTTTTATTATCTTAAGCAAAGGTCTATCTACTTCTAAGATATTCAATACTTCCCATATCTTCCGATTTAATAATCATATAATAAATAGTATATAATACCGCATGATCGAAAAAAATGGCATCCAGTTGGCTTGGAAATGAACATCGATGACATTGCCCATATAATTTTACGTATAAAATGACCGCGATTTTTATTTTGTAACCATCGCTGACGCTGTTTTTTTATCATATTGAGCAGAGGCAACAATATTTATTTGGAATTGCACAAAAACACGATTTCGTCTTTTATCCCGACATTTAATGGTTTATAGTCGGTAATATTATTTTAACAAAAATATTAACGTAAAAATTAAATTTTTCTTGTAAATAACTTTTGTATCGTTTGCATTTTCTGCCCATGATGTTTATTTAGGGCTTTTGTTCAAGTCTAAACATGGGTGCCTGACTCTATGCCTATATCACCGCCAAACGAACGATCGCATTGTGACCCGATTCAATTCTCACGATTCGTTTTTACGGCTCATCGTTGAAATCTTTTGGATCCGTGCCGGCCACGATTCAATTAAACGAACCGTATTGCAAGCATTGAATTGAATCACACGATTCATTTTTAATACTCGTTCAAATGAACGACTCGTTCAATCTTTGCCCACCTCTACCACCGACTGCCAAATGATTACTGTTTTGAGTCACTCAATTCTAACAAATTCATTTCGAAATGATAACATAACCTTTATTTTTGCGTTTCCATCAGGCGACAAAAAAGTTTAGTTCTTCATAATTTATATTAATTTTCATAATACGATTGAATTCATATTTATCCTTTTTTCTTTTCTATTTCGGTTTCCCTCTGATTGTTTTGCCATCAACCCAAACGAACAATATTTGCGCGAGAGACTAAATTAAAGCAATTCATTATGAAAATAACAATAAAAACGGAACAAAAAGGGCGAAAAAGTTCAATTTTGACGAAAGCCCGCTTCGCCGGCTCGTCCATCTCCGTACAATTTAGGCCATGCGAACAAAGAAGATTAGGGGAAGGTATTAAGTCGGCGTAATTACAACGTATTGAATAGAGACAGAGAACAATGAGAAAAAGAGAGACAAAGAACTAGATACTGGCTAGTTTGGAATAACCTCTATCGATTGCACCAAGATTTATTTTTTGTTCCTATAAAAATATAGTTTCCCTTTGTTCTGTTATTTTCTACTTTATTTGATATTACTTCGTTTAAATTACTTATTGTTTTATTTAAAGCTAGACATTGATACCTGCACTGTCTGATAAAATCTGTTCTAGGAGTAAGAGAAGAGTAGAGTTATGAAGTGAAGCAATTGAGCACTAAAGAACGATTTTTTGGAAATTCGATCTTTAAGAGGGCGAAATGAGAGGTAAATTTTGTATTTAAAAAAAATAAAATTCATTCTAGGAGTCTGAAATTTCGCGCAGAGGTTAAGTGGCTTAATTGAACACTGAAAATCTAAACTCCTGGACAAAAAATTGTCGCACCGCTTGGCTTTTAGAGATTTATTTTTTAGAGAAATAAAAAAATAACTCTGCATTATTTATTAGCAATAAAAATTCATATTCTATTTAGCAAAACGATATTTAACTAACCAAATACATTTTTAGGAAACAAATCGATTTTAAACGTTACTAGCTCTAAATCTTCATTCAGAACCTCCCAATTAGTGGAACAAATTAGTGGTTTCAATTACACTTTACACTTTTTTGTTTACAATCATTCACAATGTCTAAAGAGCACAATTAAAATTAATAAAATATCCTAGCAACAGTTTGCGGTAGTCTGTTGTATCCATAGGATAAGCATAATATTTAGCTTATAAAACAATAAACTTTTGATTTCTAACCATAGACAAACAAATAAAAAGAGACTGGCAAATTAAATGGCAAAAAGAGGGACAACGTAGCGCAACTCAGAACGCAAAATTTCGCTCTCTTTATGTTGATCTGCGCATTGCGTCTATTGGGCCCACTATCTCATTCTAATATAACAAGAGAGAAAGAAGCAGCCATATAAAACGTAATTTCTAAATAGAAATTATAACAATCGCCTTTCGTTTTCGTCATCATGACAACCAAGATGACAACATCATGACAATTCGTCATGTTTGTTAATTTTTCTTTTGGTGATTTACCTTTTTTTCTAAACTCTCCAGTTTATTGACTTATGAATATGGGTAGGGAACAAATTCCTTTGTTCCATATATGTATTTATATTTTGTTACTTATAATTTTAGGTTATACTATTTGTTATTTTATTTGCTGCAGGAGCCAGTATCATCTATTTTCTATATGTATTGGTGCCCCCTTTCCCTGATAGATATGTTAGAGACACCCGGTAAAATAAATGTAAGTAGTTATATGTATCATCTTATTAAGAAAAAAAGTAGAAGTAGTAGTGTCAAAAATATTTCGAACCCCTCTTAACATAACAAATTAATACAATTAATTTTTTTCATTTTTTGGATAGGTAGTTTATAGCTGGTTTATAGTAACCAGAAACTTTATTAATATACCTATTTTACTTTTGTTTTAGGTCTAAAACTGGACTTGAAAATGGTTCAGGATCATGATTCTCGTAAAGTTTTCTTTGCTTGGATATTCACTTTGTTATTGCAATTAGGCAGTCTTTTCGAAAATGAGATTTTTAATGCCCTTTAAAAAAATTGGCCGATCGTTGCCTGTAACAGTCAGTTCTTCTGCATTTAAAATTGGTTGGTGTGTGGAATAAACTCTGTTATTTTTTGTTATTATATTATAAAAAGCTTATTTATTTTTCTGTATAAATAAATATGTTTATAAAACAGTACAATGTTTGCTTTTTTTATAATTTCCCTTATAATAGTAGTATTCTTTCGTTCTGAAAGAAACTGCAAATTTTCACTTAAACTGATTTATTCCCTACACCACGTTCTATTTACGTGGTATAGGGAATATGTATAATCAGTTTAAGTGAAAATTTTCAGTTTTAGAATGAAAGAATACTACTAATAATGGCTAATTTAAATTTTCCGCCAGCCAGACTGTGCGATAATGTCTTATGATACGTTTTATACCTATCTCTTTCTTTTTCATATAAAGCACACATAATAAAGAAAGATAGCAATAAAGACGTACGTCCTGCCATGGTCCTGCTAATTGGTTTCAAAATTTTTATTCTGAGTTGCGCTACGGGAACGCGGTCCCACTCTTTACCATGGGATTTGTTAGTCTCTTTTTATTTGTTTGTCTATGTTTCTAACCAAAAATTTTCTTGACGGGTGATAATCAAAGGCCAAAATGACATTCCTCGAAAATTTTGAAGTATAATTAGTGGAAAAATCAAAAGTTTGTTAACTTTTTATCATTAATTATGACGTTTTGAATGCTTACATTAAAATTAGGTGAACAAACTTCTACAACTAATTGAAACTATATACTAATTTATTCCATTGATTTCGAGGTTCTGAATGATAAGCTTTTAGACTATAAGTAAAACAGCAAAATCGTTATGGAAATGAAAATATAAAATTACACCAGTCACAAGTAAATCGTATATCCGATGAACGGAGGCATGAAAATGCAATAAATTTAAAAACTGCGTAATTTTCTAACCAGTCGAAGTCTTTAAATTCAACCAATAAAATTAATATCGCATCATCGTATCGTCGGACAACGGATGCGTGGAAATCAAGCTTAAAGTCGGCAGGCTAGATTGAACCATTTCAAAATATCGGAGTTTTGGTACATTACGAGTCGTCTACTAACACCGCCAACCAAATCCGCGGACTAAATTTGCCGGCCAAATCCGCTGGTGTATGGGGGGCTAATATCTAACTCGCCAAGTTAAATAAAAAAAATTTTGTAAACTAATAAAAATAGTAACTTGTTTAGTACATTATACGTCGCTTGCCAAAACGCATTATTAAAAATGACCAGTCTCTTAGCTACTTTTTGGCAACTGTTATCTCTTAATATTTAATAAAGCTTTTTTATGGAACGTTCCAGACGAAATATAGAAGGGAGTATTTCGAGTATAAAAAATTATGTTTCGCGGAAAATGGAGTAAATACATTTCAAGCTTAAATGATCCTTTTGTGAGCGTGCCAAGTCGCCGGGGCGCAAACTAGTCTAACTCAGTGGCGGCACAAGCAAATGTTTCAAAATTCCAGGCTAAAACCCTAAAATACACTTACCGCGGCACAAATTTTTATGTATTTTAAAGTTTAATTATGTATTCTATTGTGTTCCAATGGACCGATTTTGATTATTTTTAAGCAATTTGTAGCTAAATTATTTCACTTTTTAGTATCTCATTCTACATAAAAAATAAAAGTTGTCATCTATCAATTATACGAGGGAAAACAAAATGTTAATATTTTGGTGAAAGTTGATGAAACGAGCGGTAAACATTGTAAAGCTTAGTTATTCTTTTAGGTTTCATTGTGTACAATCAACATATCTAAATTTGTTCTTATTTAAGAATGGTAAATCATTTCAAACTTCTATCGTATGACAGGTAAAGAGGAAAAATGTGACAACCATACCATAGATAAGATAACTGAACTAATTTAGCCATAGAAAATACTTACTTTTGTAAAACACATTTAATCTACTACAGTGGCGCGCTTTAAAAAATCATATATAATTATATTTTTAAATGTTATTGAATTTGAAAAATAATAATTTAACTTTTTTATGCATGGCAATTTTGCGTCCCGTGCTTAAAACACTCTTTTCGCAACGAATTTCATCCAAGATTTTTTGTGAAAGCGGATAATTTGAGATTTTCATGCTATTATTATTATTTATTTATAAACATTTTTTAAATGTTTTGGTAATCGGTTTCTAAGGCATTGTTTATGCATTGTTTAATGACAAAGTTCTATCAGGTTCAAACGTCGCCGTATTTCCTACAAAGTTTTGTGAAAAAATGAGTGATAACGACGATATTTCAACAAGCTGCTGAAACTGCGCTATCCACGTTAGTGCCCGAGAAGTCAAAAAACTTATACGAGACCACCTACAACAACTTTGAAACCTGGGTCAATGAAAAACATGTTGAGAATTTCACAAAAAGGTATTGCTAGCCTATTTCCCTGAAGTTATCCACTACCTTAAAGCCTACAACTCTGTGGAGTAAGTATTCGATGCTCCGCACCATGAATTACCTGAACAGAAACGCATTTTTTTTACTTTTTAGGCACTAGTGCCTAAGCAAGTGTCACTTTTAGATACTAGTGCCTAAAAGAATGTCATTTCAAATCTCTAATAAATATCAAAAACTGTCAATTTCAAAACGCTTTCACAAAAAATAATTTTATCATCTAGGTGTATCTTTTCTCAATAGTTTATTTTTTTGATTCATCTCAATAGCTTACCTATAAAATAGTGTTTATGATTTACGTAATGTCACTGTCTTTGAAAAATCATATCATTATTGTCTGTTGGGCAGTTTCTCTAGCAGACGTGGTTTTAAGTCCAAAAGTTGATCGCTATCATGATCAATTAAATCTGTAATAGCCGATACTTCAGAACTTAAAACCATCTCTGCTAGAGTAAATGTCAATAAACAATAATAATATGACTTTAATGACAGTGGCATTACAAAAACAATAAACACTATTTTATAAATGTGTTGATGAGGACCCAAAATCAATGCTAAAATTGCTGTAAATCGTTACTGTGTTATATCAAAAGCGAATATCTCCAATAAAAATAAAGCTACTGAGATGAATAAAAAAATAAATTATCGCGGAACGAGGTACTTAAATGATAAAATTATTTTTAAGTTATGGTACGGACGAATTCGCATTTCTAATATGAAAAAACACCCAGATACCAATTTTCATCCAAATATGGACGATAGTTTAGAAATTATTTAGGAATAAACGCCGCTGCTCTAACTATACCCGAGTTTGTTTCGAAAATTTTATTCATTGTGCGACAAGGAAAAACATAAATTTCGACGCTCTATTTTGCTTTGCTCGGCGCAAAGAAAAGTTTTCCCATAGAAATTTTGCCTTTAAGAAATGAACTACCTGGTTCTTCTATAGATATTTCGGTACGTAAGTCTTTTCTTGTATTGTTGTTTTCTTTCTTTCTAGTGTTGTTGTCTGTATCATATACATAATGGAATAAAATGAGCAAAAAAGTAGATAGATAGTAAAGAAACGTAAATCATAGTTTAAAATATTATGAATAGCGTTACAAATATGTTAGTTGTCATCAAATAATTTAACAATGTTGCCACGGCTACTTTTTTTACTTTTGACTTTTGACAATTGTCAAATAAAGTTAGTAATTTTGTTACCGATTAGATATTTTTTTATATCAACATTATATATATATATATTATTATACAGGTTTTGTGATTTGTACTTGATTAAGGTACTTTTAACCTCACATCTTAGAATATGGTTATTAAAATTACCCAAAGAACTACCTCTAAACAAATAACGAGCGGTAAACATTGTAAAGCTTAGTTATTCTTTTAGGTTTCATTGTGTAGAATCAACATATCTAAATTCGTTCTTATTTAAGAATGGTAAATCATTTCAAACTTCTATCGTATGACAGGTAAAGAGGAAAAATGTGACAACCATACCATAGATAAGATAACTGAACTAATTTAGCCATAGAAAATACTTACTTTTGTAAAACACATTTAATCTACTACAGTGGCGCGCTTTAAAAAATCATATATAATTATATTTTTAAATGTTATTGAATTTGAAAAATAATAATTTAACTTTTTTATGCATGGCAATTTTGCGTCCCGTGCTTAAAACACTCTTTTCGCAACGAATTTCATCCAAGATTTTTTGTGAAAGCGGATAATTTGAGATTTTCATGCTATTATTATTATTTATTTATAAACATTTTTTTAAATGTTTTGGTAATCGGTTTCTAAGGCATTGTTTATGCATTGTTTAATGACAAAGTTCTATCAGGTTCAAACGTCGCCGTATTTCCTACAAAGTTTTGTGAAAAAATGAGTGATAACGACGAGTCTTTGGATATTCAACAAGCTGCTGAAACTGCGCTATCCACGTTAGTGCCCGAGAAGTCAAAAAACTTATACGAGACCACCTACAACAACTTTGAAACCTGGGTCAATGAAAAACATGTTGAGAATTTCACAAAAAAGGTATTGCTAGCCTATTTCCTGAAGTTATCCACTACCTTAAAGCCTACAACTCTGTGGAGTAAGTATTCGATGCTCCGCACCATGAATTACCTGAACAGAAACGCATTTTTTACTTTTAGGCACTAGTGCCTAAGCAAGTGTCACTTTTAGATACTAGTGCCTAAAAGAATGTCATTTCAAATCTCTAATAAATATCAAAAACTGTCAATTTCAAAACGCTTTCACAAAAAATAATTTTATCATCTAGGTGTATCTTTTCTCGATAGTTTATTTTTTTGATTCATCTCAATAGCTTACCTATAAAATAGTGTTTATGATTTACGTAATGTCACTGTCTTTGAAAAATCATATCATTATTGTCTGTTGGGCAGTTTCTCTAGCAGACGTGGTTTTAAGTCCAAAAGTTGATCGCTATCATGATCAATTAAATCTGTAATAGCCGATACTTTAGAACTTAAAACCATCTCTGCTAGAGTAAATGTCAATAAACAATAATAATATGACTTTAATGACAGTGGCATTACAAAAACAATAAACACTATTTTATAAGTGTGTTGATGAGGACCCAAAATCAATGCTAAAATTGCTGTAAATCGTTACTGTGTTATATCAAAAGCGAATATCTCCAATAAAAATAAAGCTACTGAGATGAATAAAAAATAAATTATCGCGGAACGAGGTACTTAAATGATAAAATTATTTTTAAGTTACGGTACGGACGAATTCGCATTTCTAATATGAAAAAACACCCAGATACCAATTTTCATCCAAATATGGACGATAGTTTAGAAATTATTTAGGAATAAACGCCGCTGCTCTAACTATACCCGAGTTTGTTTCGAAAATTTTATTCATTGTGCGACAAGGAAAAACATAAATTTCGACGCTCTATTTTGCTTTGCTCGGCGCAAAGAAAAGTTTTCCCATAGAAATTTTGCCTTTAAGAAATGAACTACCTGGTTCTTCTATAGATATTTCGGTACGTAAGTCTTTTCTTGTATTGTTGTTTTCTTTCTTTCTAGTGTTGTTCTCTGTATCATATACATAATGGAATAAAATGAGCAAAAAAGTAGATAGATAGTAAAGAAACGTGAATCATAGTTTAAAATATTATGAATAGCGTTACAAATATGTTACTTGTCATCAAATAATTTAACAATGTTGCCACGGCTACTTTTTTTACTTTTGACTTTTGACAATTGTCAAATAAAGTTAGTAATTTTGTTACCGATTAGATATTTTTTTATATCAACATTATATATATTATTATACTTTGTCTATGCTTATTACACAAATAAATTCGGTTTGGTTTGTTTTGGATGAATGTTGAATGATGAAAATGTAAAGTTGTAATAATTGGTTAACACTAGTCTACACTTTTATTTTCGAGATTTTACGAGATTTTACTCACACTTCCTAAACTGATATTGAGCACAGCTAAAACCCGTTAAAAATCTATAAATTTTTAAAAAAGCCGCCATACAATATTAAATTTTACCTATCTAACGCAGTTTTACGCCAAAAAGGGGATAGACGAAAACTAATATCGGTGTCTGAAGCTCAATAATTTTTATCAAAAACATGATGATGAAAACCGCACATTGATATCTGTTATCGTTTCGGAGTTACGGCGTGCACCAGCAAGTTTTTCATAAAAATGGAGCTTCAGACACCGATATTAGTTTTCGTCTATCTTTTATAGAAAAGAGTGTTTCCCTATAAAAGTGTCCGATTTGGCCCACCCTGTACTCTAATTACATATTCTGCCGGAATTCCAAATAGAGCGAAACAGTGTCCGTATACAGATAGATCTAATATAGGAGCATAGGTAGTCGAATGTACACACATACATATACAGTAGTGCGGATGTGGCAACAGCCAGTTTCAGAAATATTAAACGTGTAATCCATTAGGGTAGAAAATCGCATAGCCCGAGGCCAGAACACACCGGCCTGAGCCTATGCAGATATCGTTTATGCGGAATTATGGACAAATAGGTACAGGGATAGCGGGAAACTGTAACGCTTTAATGTGCCTATTGCCCGATTTGTTTAAAATTATTTCATATATGTATTCGGTTATCCATACCGCAAGATGACTCTCACTTTACTTCACTGTTAGGCGGTACGAAGTAAGTTAGCAGTAGGTTTAGGATTTTTGAATAAACAATTTTTACTGAACTTCTTTTATTTTTCATATCAACATAGGTCCGATTCTGCTTTGTTTCGTTGCTGCCGGGTGTTAAAGTCTTATTTTTTTTTCTTTCACCCCCAGGGCACCTAACCCTAAAATTTTAAATAGCAACCCCTATTTCTTTTACCATTTTTGTATTTCTTATAGAATTCTACACAAACTGCATTATTTTTTTGTCAAAATTTTGATACTTAACCTCACAAATAAA